AAGGAGTAACAAAAATCACATCTGAGAAATAAAGAACATTGAAGAGCTCATAATAGAACCTGAAACAGATCTGATGACAGAAGAACGCCAAGAACTCTTGAATGAAGAACACCAAGAAACTCGGCGAGATATGTTTTCTTCTGAAAAAGAGGGATTAATGCCGATATCTGCTATTAAAGATCTTTTGAAGAAGTGGGAGGATGTCAGAACAACGGTCTTAGAATGGCAACCAAACCAGGTTAATAGGGATCTATTAACCTGGTTTGGATTACCAGGTTAATAGGGATCTATTAACCTGGATGGTTAATAGATCCCTATTAACCATGAGGTTAATAGGGATCTATTAACAATGCTACTTACTATTCACTAGTTACTTACTTATGAATCTATTAATATCTACAATTACAATGCTATTAATTACTTCTGAAAAATCCTGAAGAAGAGAGAAAAGCAATCAACATTGGACAGATTCTTTAACTTCCACAAACGGAAAAAACATGACTAATAAAAATGCAAGACTGTGTATATATGTATTTTTATTATTACATATAAATAAATGTAGTTAGAAAGTGTATATTTTTTATTTTTTGGGTCTTCAGAATGAATTAATCAAATTCCAATAAAAACTTATGGTAAATCGATAATTGGTTAATTAAAGTATTCATTTGATAGATAAACTTATTTAATCATTTAAAATTTTAACAAATTGACAATAAGGAATCTAAACAAATTCTAACTGTCAATCAGTTTTTAGCAAATTTTTTATTTATACATAGATACTAGTAGCTATAACATATTTATATATTTAATATTTTAAGTTTTTTCAAAATTTTATTGAAGATTTGTTAGATTTACCTGTGACTATTTGGTGGCTCCACACATTCAGTATTCAACAAACATTTGGTCAATACAGAGTAATGTGGATTTACTTGTGACTTCTCAAATATTCAGTATTTACTGTTTCCCATTACTTATTAGTACATTGTGCCAAATCAAAGGAAATAAATCTCAAACATTCTGTATTTCCACAATGAACCAAAGCTTGTCAAATAATCGTGTGTACATAAGTGCTTGCCAAATGACAAACACTTCCACAAATACTTGGGCAATAAGCAATTATTTGGGAATCAGTAAATATTGAATGTGTGGAGCCATCTTTATATTTAATAAAAGAAATTTAGTTAAATTGTAATATAGAATATTGAAAATAATTGAAATTATAGTTTGAGTATTTATTAAATTTTTATTAGGCAATTAGTTGGATGCTAGAATCAAATCAAAGGATATCCCCTGAATATCAGTATTTATCAATGAAAATAATGGAAGCAGCTTTAAAAGATACTAATGTATCATTTGTGATTGGTCTTTCTAGTCATATTACTTGGATATCTTCTGCAGTTTCTTCAGTTTATCATCTTGTGAAACATTGTAAGTGTATTGTTTGATCTATTTTTTTATTCAAATCTTTATTTAAAATGTTTATAGTTTTTCATATCTTTTGTTTGCTTTTTAATATTTTTTTTCATACATAAAAATTGCAGAGAAGTTGTTAGATAAATTTCATATTTTTATAAGACATATTATTCGAAAAAATAAACTAAATACAATGTTTGAAATTGAAATAATCATGCAAATTATAACTAACTATAAATACCTTATGCTTTATTTATTTTTAATAATACAATAAAATTTATGATGATGACTGTTTTGATAATTTGTGGCAAATGAAAATAAAAGTCATCATTGTTCAACTTCATGCTAAATATCTTAAATATAACAAAAAAAAAAACTATTATAGAAACTGCATTGTTGTTGTTCTATTTTTTGCCAAAATGTTTATTATTTTAATTCTGTTGCCACATTAATATAATTTTTATACATAGCCAAACGATCATCTGGCTATGTAAAAAAAATTGCCTTAAATACTTGGGATAGCCAAGTATTTAATAATTTGACTATGAATCTATATATTTATATAAGGCTTCGGGGTGTTTAATATATTTATATAATTTTTTTTAAAGATGTAGTTGATTAAAATGCATGAATCACATGAAATTTGTTAACCAAACCTCACACTTTATCTATAAATATTCTTTAACCAGGACCTCACTTATTAAGGAATTTGGACTTAATAAAGAATCTGGACTTTATCTATAAAGTGTACAGAAATTCACTTCATTTAAAAAAAATGTTTTATTAACAAAAATGTATAAAATAGATCTGTCACAAAGGTATGAAATAAACAAAGTACAATTGGCCCCTGTGAGATCATGGGTTTATGTGAACTAACAGGTTGGAAGGTTTAGAATGTCAGTTGAGAAAATTGAGTTTTAAAATTTGGAAAAACTGAGGAAATGAATCATTACTTTGAAAGAAAAACCATTGTGTTTTAGTTAATATTAATAAAGATTAAAAAAAATTCTTAGATGTCAGAAAAGAAAATATCACTGTGTGAGATACAAGCAAAAGTTTCAAAGTTTGGTTAACACTTTTGGACAAAGTCAAATAACGATGTCAAATTGATTAATGGAGAGTAATCTTTCCTGACCCCTTTCTGGTCATATAATTTTGGCTGGAATCAGGAAAGAGACCAATTGGGAGGTGGAGAGAGAAAATCGGGACCAATCAAATAAAGAATTTTGGGGATAAAATACTTTAAAAATCTCAAAATTTAAGGACATGGAGCATTGGTTCTCCTGTGTTCATCTTACTTGTCCTTTTGTCAATTCCCCTCTTGCCTTTGACTTCTTCTTCATTCTGTTGACCACTGCAGCTGACTTCCAACTAGTCTACTCTGGGGTCATTGTATCAGCATCAAAACTCCATCAGATTGCTATTAGATAACCAACAATGATGATAACCAACATAGACTGAACTTTCCACATTTTGTTTGTCATCTGAGAAGTTTTTGACTAAAACTGTGTAAGCATCATGTACTTTTCAAATAAATGGCTTGTTTTGTAAAAGTGACCTGTTTTGGTGTAACCACCCACACCCATATTATGCTCACATTCCTCATTAATCATGACAGAATTGTCGAGTTAACATCTGCTTTTTCTTCCTTGTTGGCAAAGATTTGTATTCAGATATAATACAAAACTACTTTGCAAAGTATAAAACATTTTATGTTTACATTTAAACTGTTTAGTATTTTGGTTTAAACAGAAATTTAAGAGTTATTTATATATTAATGAAAATAACAATTCATTAAGTCATTATAAAATGTGAGATCTGGGGGAGGGATCGTTTTTAATTAATATAAAATTTTAATTATGTTTTAAAATATAAAATATTTGAGGAGAAAATTTTATTGAAGAAAGGATGTAACATCCATCATTATCAGAAAGAAGAGAAGTTGAACTTTCTTTTAGACAGCCAACTGGCTGATGAATCAGTAGTGGCCTTTTGCACACGCTACTGGGCTGTCTGGGAGAAGCCGTCTATAAATAGGGCTTTTTTCTGCCATTCTGGGTAGTCTATCAAAAGAAAGATTGCCATAAAAACTACATGTGGTTTCCGATGTAGGATGTGCCATATAATAAGTGCGGAGTTCCCTGAAGATAAGTACTGGCCACATAAGTGTGAGATCTGGAATTTTATTATTTTACTTATATTTATTACTTCTGTTATCTAACAGATTGAAAAAAAATGATCTTAGCTGGGAACATTTGAAACACTTCTTTCATAACTATCAACATTCTATTGTTTTCACACAGCCTGCAGCTCAACTTGCACAAAAGTTTATAGTTAGCATCCAAATTTTGTCACTTGTTTTGGGTCCTGGGAACACCTATAACCTTTATCTCCTATAACCAACCACGTGACCGATTTTCCCAGCCAAAAGCTATAAAAGATGCTTCCTTCCCACTCTTGGGAGAGTCTCTTAACAAAAGCCGGACTGATGCCATCGGATACCGTCGAGTTGAATCTCTGAACCTGCCAAAAATTCCGAACCTCCAACATCGAATATCGTCCAATAGTCGCAAACTTTTATACTTATGTGAATTTGGATTACCCTAAACCCCACATGTTGGATATCTATGTGCATTAATGAACACAAATCTTTGTGGAAACCTACAAAGAGGTATGAAAATCCGTGTAAACTCTCTCTCGAGCTCGTAGGTGGTTAGCGTCGAGATTAGTTTTTGTATATTTTGTTGATCTTGTCTATTTTGAACAAACTTGTTTTATTTGTTAAATGGTATACTCTTTTACTTGTATACTGCCTACGCCTTATTGTCGACCCTGATTACTCTCCCTCTACTCTACCAACATAGAGCAGAAGTCCCGACCCTCGGGACCATTATCATAACATAGTCATCTTGACAAGTGAGCGGAAAGGGAGGTGCGACCGTCCCTGACCTCCCCGGTGGTTAACATAAACATCCATCTCCGTATGAACTACAGATCGCCTCCCAAAATATCGAAGATTCCATGATATACAGTAGACCCCCCTATAGCACGGGTTCATATAACACAGTGAAAAAATTATGATTGTGTTTGTATATCATGCTAAAAGAGACTTGTATAACATGGTAAAACGTCATCGCCGACTTGTATTGCAACAGCATTGGTTGAATCTGGACCAATAGCATACAGCAGCGGGCCTACTAAAAATCATTTATTATTTAACGGCCATAAAAATTACATTTATATTAATGATGTCTCCAAAATTCAGTGAATTTTTCACAGAAAAATAACTTATCAGGAAACACGCACTTGCCATTTGATGAGCCACTCTGCGACAAAAGCAAGCTTAAGCAATGGTGTCGTCAAACGGTGCACACTCGGTAAGTAATCCTACAATTTTTTGTTTACAGCATAGTTTATATGGATTATTCCCAAAAAATTATACATGTTTTGGAAATGTTGAGTCAAATTAGTCTAGAATTGGTTAATTTTATGGAAGAAAACCTTTCAAACAGCCATAGCCCCTAAACTGCACACATGCCAGGCTGTGATTGGCTCATGTATTTAACTGACTCGTACAACACAGAATTCATATAACACAGAACGTATCTACCATGTTATAGGGGGGTCTACTGTAGAAGATAAAGTTGCAGAACAAAGCTAACAAACTTTCTCGATTCTGACAACAAAATGACATTGTTAAATACAAGATACCGTGTTTCCCCGAAAATAAGACATCCGCAGAAAATAAGACCTAGCACAGATTTTGCTGAATTGCGAAATATAAGACCTCCCCCTGAAAGTAAGACCTAGCGAAGTTTTTTTTTAGTCGTAACGGTCATCGACAGATGGTTGAAAGTGGCCGTTGGCTTTTTGAAAGTACAGCCACTGATTGGTCAGCAGACAATTACGCCACACGGCATGATTTGCATAAGACTATGGCTTGGGAATCACAGATTTGCATAACGTTACGGCTGGTGATGGCTAATTGGTCGGCCGGGAATCACGCCACATGACATTTGCATAGTGCTACGGTTCAGTAAGCACTAATTGGTCATCGAGTCCGATGTTGACGCTATAAAAAGGCGACAGTTCGACACACCGGATATACGTCACTCTCGTCTAAGTTCGACTTGGGAATTTTTTTGTTCAATAATAAAAGTGAATTCTTCTTCCTGGAAAAAGTAAGACATTCCCTGAAAATAAGACCTAGCGCATTTTTCAGAGCAAAAATTAATATAAGACACTGTCTTATTTTCGGGGAAACACGGTATCTACAAATCTGTTAAGGTAGTATAACCTTAGAACCCATGTAATCTCTCTCTCATGTAAGTTAGGAAGCTTTCGTATATTGTAATCTTGGTTTATTTTAATTTTGTTTCATTAAATAATTTTTATGTTTAAATATGGTTTCTTTAATGACTAAAATCCATGCCTTTGTCCACTCTACTTTTTCATGTCCCTCCCACTTGAAATTTTTCGCAATCACGTGATAGTCTGCGAATTAGACTATCAGGTGTCAGGAAAAACAAACCTGCAGGGATTCTTATTAACACCTGTTCATTTATAACCTTTATAGGAAGTCATTCGTTGACAGAGTGAGCAGATCTAATGATTGTGTGCCACGTAAGTGACATAGAGTTAGAGTTAACATCTCTATGCCCTTGGTGTCTCACATAAATAATAATAAAAAATTTTTAACGTTAGTTTTTTAATTTTTGTAATTAACAAAAATAATTTGAGTTATAAGAATATAAAAACTATTTAGCTGATGTCAACCAGATAATCATGTTGTAAGGTGTTGACACCTTACAGCATGATATATGCTAAATGAGTGCTCAAAAATGTTCAAAAGAAAAAATAAATAAATAACAAAAATAATAAGTTGAATATAATAAAGTTCAGTAAATGTGCTTTAAAGTTTTTTACAAATAATTCATACAAGAATTCCAAAGCTAGAAGTTGTCTCTGTTGGCAACTGTTCTGGAAGTGTAGGTGGAAACAATTGGTTTCACCTCAGGTGCAAGTCACCATCAAGCTATTACTTGTCAACACTGTGGATAATCAAACTCAAATACATTCCAGATTCATTATTTATCATGTGTAGTATGGTTAGGACATAGTTTCTCATTCTTTGTGCTGACCGACTTCATTACAGATCAGGTCAACCCATTATAGGCATAATTGTGGTTGGCCATATAGTTCATCATACTGATGCCTTACATTCACTAATCAATTAATCTAATAATTCTGTTCAAATATTATATTTTACTTAATCAATATATGTACAGTTTGTAATGGAAGTTGAATCCTTGTATAAGAACTGATGCACATGAATATGCCTAGCAGACAGTTTTATTTAGTTATTATTTTTTTAATGAACTAGTCAAAATACTGATAATTATAATAATTGTGTTCTATTTGTAACTTTTTACTAAAAGAGCATTTTCATAATGGTAAAAAATTTTAATTATCTAAATATTATTCATTTTTTATCATCAATTTTTAAAATTTATTTTAACTACAGTAGAGCATCAGCAACCAATGCTGTCCAAATCAATTGGGGACTGGGGTTGTTCGGAAAATTGATTTTTCAGATAACTGATTATGTATGAAAAAATACATTATTAATATAGTGTACTAGTATATCCCAATAGTAGTATAATATATCCCATAGTATTAATATATTCTATGTTTAAATTTTTCTCCATTGCATGTTGCTTCGCATTGAATTTTCGTCGATGTTAAGCCTAACGAAAATTTTTATAATAATAATCGTGGCTATTGTATTGTTAAAAATTATTTTTTTATTTTGTACTGTATAAGCAAAATAAATATATTGAATAATATAAAAAACAAAAAAATTTATACTTTAGAAGTTAATCTAGTATCAAAAATGCCCGATTCAGCACGACACAGTCCAACTGGAACACTTTCGGTTAAGCAATGTTTCAGTTGATCGACATTCGGATAATCAATGCTCTACTGTAATATAAAGTTACTTCATTTCTTTAAACATTTCTTTTGGATCTCTCTAGTTTAAGCAAAAATAAAATTTTTGAAATTAAATATGTATGTATGTGTATGTATGTATGTATATATATATAATTACTATTGGAAAATATTCCACACGTCTTATTTATGATGCATTTTAGTTTATTATAAGAGAAATTTAGTAAAAAGAAAAATAGATTATTATATTATTATATTTATTAATCAGCTTTTCAAGATATTCATTTTTTTTTCATAAGCAGAAATATAAATAAAACAGACTGTTTTCAACTTTTTAGTTTAGTTGTATTCTACAATTAATTTTTCTTTGTTGAACTAATAACTGGTTTGCATAATTAAAAATTGATAGATTCTTCATAAAATTTTATACTTTCTTGCAGTACAAAGAAAAGAAGATCTTCCTTCTGTGCCATTCCAAAAATTTTCTCAGAGTGATAACAATGATGATATAGGTAATATAAATTGCTTTTTACTGTGAAATATTTTTCTTAAAACTAAATTTTTATTTTTATTTTATTAAAGTAGCTCAACAAGCTTGCATCCAAATGTCTGAATTAGTTAAATGGTTAGAAGATAACAATGGCAACATTAAAGGTGTTTCAGAGTTTATAGCTGAACCTCTAAAAAGTGTTATAATTGGTAATATACATATACTTTATTTATTTGTGGTTTTGCAAATTTGACTGTAAAATTTAAAAAATTTATAAATTCTTGTAACTAATGTATGTCAAGAAATATTTATTTACATCTGAACAATTTCTAAAATGGAACATTTTAAAAATTGATACAGTATTTCACCTGATGATGGCTTATAGAATTTAGGTTGAAAACATTTGTGATGATTAAATAAATATTTCTCAACAAGCATAAAGTTGTTACAAAAATTTGTTAACTATTTATTGCTGAGTCTGATTTTTGATTGTAATTTATAAATTTAAATACGGAAAAGTTTTCAATTCGAAATAGTATAGTTATTTTTTGAGTAGATAAAATTATTTTTTTTATTATATATTGTATTGAAATGTCAGCTAATGAATTAAGTATAAATTAAAATAAATATTCATAATTTTTGTTAATTAAATTTTTATCATCAAAATATAAAAATCATTTTAATTAATTTTTAATGAAAATATTGGAAAATTTCATATCAACTTCTATTTTACAAAATTTCTGGACCAATAAATAATAATAATTTCCTTATTTATTCAAACTGATTTTATTAACATATAAATTGTGTTACTGTTGTAATTTCTCTAATAATTTTATTTTTTAAGACACATTGAAAGTAAAATTTTTTTTTAATTTACACTATTAATAAGTTACTTATGTTGCATCTGTGTAATTTAAATAATTTTAAGCTCTACTATTTCAAGACCCGGTATCTACAACTCTCATCTTACTTAGACTTTTCATTACAATTTTAATATTGTCAACAAAAATCCCAAAAAAAGAGAACAAATTATTCTCTTATTTCTCTTATACAAATAGAAAATTTTTCAGAAACTTGTTTAAGAAAATTTGATCAAGATCTGTCTTATCCTGTTATTCTGAATGAATTCCCAAAATTGATTCAGATATCAGGAAATTTTTTTATTATTTCTTATGAGAAAAATTCTAAATCATTCCCAGTCCATCTAAATAATCTCAAACAAATTTACTTAAGTAACACTAAAACACTACAAAACATTTGTTTATACATCAATCTGTGATTTTAGCATGATATCACATATTACAATACAAACTCCACTGACCTTACTAACAAACAGTTAATGAGGTCATTGAAGAATATGTTTATAAGCAGTAATGCAACAAATAAGTTTATAGAGTAACCTTTATTAAATTGTATGAGTTTTTGTTTGCAGTAGAGATTAATGGACATTTGTAATGATACTATACATTTTATATTAAAATATTACTGTTCAGAAACAGAACAACATTAAAAATGAACAAAGATGGTAGTGAACCTAATTTAACAAATTATTCAGAATAAGGTGACAAGATTGCACTGAAATTCTGTAATAAAAATCATTAAACTGCATAACATCATATTAGAACACAACATATAAATAGACACAAACTTCAACAGTTGTTGGAAATGAGTTACTCATTACTTATCACTTGTATTAGTGCAATTTATTTTATTAGCTAAATTCTAAACCTTAATTAAAATGTATTCTAAAGTTTTTACACAGATTTTTTTTCCTCTTCGCATCATGTATATGTTTTGATGTTTTCAATATGTCTTTGAAACATTAAAAATTTATATTGGAATAAAAGCAATTATAAATATGAATTACAACATTTTTTTAACTTTTTCTGCATTTATAAAAATCACTATAAAACAAAAACTTGCAATAGTACTGGCCAAAATTTTGTTTTCTCATTTCATTTTAGACAGATTTTATCACATTAGAAATATATACACATTGAAATATATGGAAGAAATAATTATCTTACATTTGCTATAAGAAAAAGCATCAAATAATTGTAAAGTGAATATTTAAAAGAATTTCATTTTTTTTTCTAGGACTTGTGTAAAACTTGTTCTTAAAAATAGTGGTTACATAACTATATTTGTAAAAAAGATATTGTAATTATTTATTTGATTTGAGTATTTTTAGTCAAAAGTTCATAAAAATTATTTTAAATTTCAAATATTCTAAATAAATTAATTTTTTATAAGATTTACTTAAATAACACAAACGTTACATACAAAACACTACATTTTTAATAAACATTTGGATAAAAAAATGTTTTGTCCATTTATTTTTTTAAAATTAAAGTGTGATTTAGAAAACTTCAGATACAATTTTCAATCAGAAGCAGTAAGATTTCATTAATTATTTTTGCTCTCTGCTTAATTAAATATACACTATCTCAATTATTAATATGATTATCACCAAAAATTATTGGTTATTCTTTAAACTTCTAAAAGTTTTTAAAAATTACTGTCTTATTTTTAATTTATTGTAAATATATACATTTTAGTTCTATATTTAACTCTACTAAGTTCAGTAATATTCTTCCAAAGTTTTCTAATAGGTAAATAAATATAAATATTTTTTAAGACTTTCTTATCCCAAACCTTTTATTATTTTATAATATTGTACTTACTAAACTTATTTCATAATTAATAATGATAAACTGTACTTCTATGTTAAATTGTATAAAAGACATATTTGTTTTTGGACTCTTAAAACATAAAAATGTTTGTTTGTAATTTTTAGGTTTTAAAAATTGTTTTTTGCTACTATGAATGTTCTCCTCAGTATGAATTTTCTTAATTACTCTACAGTTTGCTTTAAAGTATTCTCATATTCTTGTTTGTTGCCATTTTTGATAGAAAATATCATATATTTCTGTATTGGATATTATGTTTGTGTTCTGATATGCTTTCTCTTAAAGATCTTAACTTACCACTAACCAATGTATTTTAGTGAGTTACACTTGCTAGTGTCTTCTACTGGAATTCTCTATCTGCCACCACTTTCTTCAATAAGTTCGTTAGGTTTATAACTTCTAAATGATATTTTCAAGAAATAATAAGATTATTATTAAGAGAAAAATAATAGTAAAGCATAAACATGTCTGATACACTGGTATGTTGTACTTCCTACCTGAAATGGTAATAAAAAAGATTATGAGGATAATTTGAGACAAAGTAGAACTATTTGAGAAAATTCATAGTAGACAGGGAACATTAATATAATAAAAAAACTCTGGATTTATAGGAGGACTCTAAAGAGTGATATGATAAATGTAGATAACATGCTATTTACAATATGAAAGTAATGTAACACTTCCAAGAAAACATTAAAAAAATTACTACAGGCTTGTAAATTGAATTGTTATTTTAAGTTTTTTAATGATACAAAACTTAAAATAAGATTTGTATCATTCAATGTGTGATCAATAATTAATTTGTCACTTGGAATATGTTTTACTGTTGACATTGCCTCCATAGCAAAGCCATTTGATCAAATTATTCTTTTTGTTAAGTTTGAAGATGGAATAATAGTAAAAAACATTTGCAACTGTAAAACAATAGTATATCATACAAAAAATTATTAAAATTTTTTAAAATTAATGTCAATTAAAGCTAACATATTATATATAATAATCAAATAAAATTAACAGAAATTAAGAAATTATAAACTATTTTATTTTCTTATTCAGTTTTACAACATTCACAATAGTGCCAAAAAATAAATCAATGAGTCCTTGCTTTTTAGTTGTCATTAAAGATAACATTTAACAATAATTTTTATGTAATTTATTAACATCAGTTTTTAACTTTATTTTTATTTTATATTAATAAGGTCTAGCAAGGTTGCCTTTGGTGAATAGTTTCACTCGAACTCCTCCCATTTTATGGCAGTTAGGTTGGACTCCAGAATTAGATGGTGACTATAAAACAATAGTTCCACCTCCTCCTGGAGAATATTTGCAAGAGAGAGATGTTCTAAAACAGTATATCTACCGTGTGAATCTTCTAGGTAATTATTTTAAATAAGAGATTTAATTTTAATTAAGAACTTATATACTTACAACAGTTTAAATATGGAAATAAAATGCTTTTCATAGTATAATAAGCTTTTAAAATGCTTATTATACTTCCTATATGTTGTTGTTTTGATCTATTTGGAAAAAATTCTTTGTTTTGACTAATTAATTTTTGCAATTTAGTACACTTTATGCAATGCATTAATAAAATCTATATACAGGCAGTCTCTGACTTTTCGGATTGAATTCCTAACAATATGTACAAAGTCAAATATTCTAAAGTTGAACAATAGAAAAAGAAAAGAAAAATGCTAAAATATCTTATTAGGGTAGGAAAACTTCCATTTACATTAAACTCAGTTAAATTTGATATAAGTGCAAGTTTGTAAATTGTAATTTTTTCTCAAAATTTTTCTATATGCATAATACATATAACCAAATAAACCATGAATGCATAAATCTAATACCATGTTTTATTGATTCTAATGCACCATCAAATGTAGTGCATGTTTAAGTTTTGAAATGTCAAAACTCAATAATAAAACAGTAATAAACATATTTTGAAAAGCATTTTATTTTCATATTTACAGTGCTTCATGATATTCACATTTCCAAATGTATTCATTTATGACTTAATTATCAGATATAGAGGATCTGCAAACTAATACAAAATTTCAGTCAAAGTTACTGTATGATCAATGTTTTAACAGTAAGATTTCACTTTGATATCACTGACTAGATCTGTATACATATTCCTCATCATAGTGAATAACTATCTACTAAAACATAGCTTTATAAGAAACTCATCTGTTGTACCTGTACATCGTTTACTTGGCTTGCCGTAATCTAAAAGAATAACTGTTCCAAAACTAAAATCAAAATTAAAACTCAAGTAGTGGGAGTAATGTATACTATGTCTACACTTACAACATAATATATACAAATTTCCAAGCAGAGTGCAGAACAAATAAAGCTGCATTAAGTTTACTTTATGCCTGATTCTAATGTGCACCCCAATTTTTGAGATCAGAAAAGTCCAAAAAAAAGGTGTGCATTAAAATTGAGAAAATATGTTTTATATTTATGAATTGTACTCTGTATGGCTTTGAGATGATCCATTTCCTAGAAAATTCAAGAAATAAGAATAGTCCATTGGTTACCAGCAATTTTAATCAGTTCAGAAATATAACAAAATCATAGGTTATTTTATTTTTATAAAAATGAAACAAAAAAATCATAGTATGAAAATTTATTTCATACTATCCCAGAAATAAAGTATCAGTTAATTCATTCTAATTTTCCAGTCCCTCTTCTGATCACAAGAGATAATTTACTCTAATGAATTCACTATTTGTTTATTGTCTTAAAATTTTTATGGAAAATTGTGCATGTATAGTTTATAACCATCCATCAAGATTTTTTGTTATTTACTCATAGAGTCACAAAAGCAAAATATTTAGATAATATTCTAAGAACAGTTTACATAATTACTGTATTTCCATGCATATAAGAGCATGCTTTTATACAGGGTGTTAAGAAATTAAATCAAAAAAAAAAAAAAAGAAATGGGTGGTAGAAGAGTGTCAATATGAGCAAATTTGGTCCTAATAGTTGGAGCTCCCCTTAGGAAATACAGACTCCGAAATTCTTGGTAATGGTTACTGCCTTGTGATGCACAAAGACATGAAAACATGAAAAGCCTGACATTGGTTAATGCTATGCATGGGATGCTGTTAATTCATACTGTTTTAAATATCATCATGCACAGCCTTGTATAGTTTGACAGTATCAAACTACACAAGTATCAACTGTTCATGTAGCTCAGTCCAGATATTAACATGATTGGGCCCATGATATGGACAGTAGCTCACATTATGTTACTCCACATGTTAGTTAAATCACTAGTTCTTCAAAGTTATCAGTTATTATTGATCATGGGTGTTCTTATCCATCTGATCTTTAAAAAAAAAACATCTCTTTTCTTGCAATTGAGTATGGATCATGGCAAACATTGAATTTAGTCCTGCTGCTACTGTTCACAATGCAGTCTTTGTGCTAATCATTCATTGCGTTTAGCTTTCCTGTAAATAAGATGCATATCAACTACCTCCTGTGTGATGAACATTCACTTACAAGGAAACTGTTGGAGTGTCTTTTAATAAATACAGTGGGTGATCGGTTAACAAACATAATCTGTTCCAAGACTTCATTCGCTATCTGAATTGTTCATTAACTGATTATCGATTTACCATAGGTTTTTCTGGAAACTCCAAAAAATAAAAAAATATATACACTTACTATGTTTATTTATATGTAATAATAAAAATACATATATACAAAGTCTTGCATTTTTATTAGTCATGTTTTTTCTATTTATGGGGGTTAAAGAATCTGTCTAATGTCGATTGCTTTTCTCTCTTCTTCAGGATTTTTCAGAAGTAATTAATAGCGTTGTAATTGTAGATATTAATAGATTTATAAGTAAATAACTAGTGAATAGTAAGCAGCATTGTTAATAGATCTCTATTAATCTCAACCTAGTTTGGTTGCCATTCTAAGACCGTTGTTCTAATATCCTCCCACTTCTTCAAAAGATCTTTAATAGCAGATATCGGCTTTAATCCCTCTTTTTCAGAAGAAATCATATCTCGCCGAGTTTCTTGGTGTTCTTCATTCAAGATTTCTTGGCGTTCTTCATTCAAGATTTCTTGGCGTTCTTCTGTCATCAGATCTGTTTCAGGTTATATTATGAGCTCTCCAATAATGTTTATTTCTCAGATGTGATTTTTGTTACTCCTTAAGCTGCTTGAATCTTCTTGATTGTACAGTATCTTTCTTAGATAAGATTGAACTGCACTCTACTGTAGACCTTTTCAAGCCATACTGCCCAGCAACATCAGACATCTTCTGCCCACTCTCTACCTTTGCTATTGTATTCTCACATTTCGAAAAAAGTTTCAAATTAGGGAAAACCAATCAGTATTCATTATTTTACATTGCTTCTTCTTGTGTTGTTTTGTGAGGTGTTCGTTGTCTGAACATAAAAATCTTTTGTGAAAGTGTTCATTATCCGATTTGTTCGTAAACCAATCACCCTCTGTATTAATAAAATTTAGTTAATAATTATGTTAAAAATATACAAACTCTATATTAAATTTGTAATATTCACTAAAAGCATTAATCTAACTCTGATTATAGCAATAAAATGTAATACTATGTTATATTAGTTTAACACAAATATGCAAATTTTTAGTAGTGAAAGGGTTGCAGAGGAAGACAACGATATTATATTTACAGAGTGGAATAATTGAATAAACTCAAAAAAATGTTATATGAAAGATTAAATTGCAGCAGTTGGCAACAAAAGTGGAGTTAGCCATGGTCTGACATCACAAATAGGTTGGGGATGGTGGGCAACATGGCATTTGCCCACCATCCCCAACCTATTTGTGATGTCAGACCATGGCTAACTCCACTTTTTAGATGGACATGCTTTTCTCTGGTTGCTCACCTCTCCGCATGTTCCAACCACTGTTTCCACAGTCAATGTAACTGTAACTCTTGTATATACAGTAGAGCGTCGATTATCTGAAAGTCAGTCATCCGAAACAACAATCATCCGAAAGAATTCCAGTTGGCAAATTTAAATTTTCACCAGTGCTGTGGCGCTGCATTCTTTGGATATGTCTTGGGCTACTCAAATATTTTACGTTTTTGATTCTAAATTAACTTCTGAAGTATAATTTTTTATTGTTTTTATATTTTTCAATATATTTGTTTTGTTCGTACAAAATAAAAAAATAATTTTTAACGATACAATAGTCTTCGTTAGGCTTAACATCGATGAAAATTCAACGCGAAGCGACACGCAACGGAGAAAAATGTCAAGATGGGATAAATTAATATATTTTTTGTACATAATCGGTTATCCGAAACATCCGATCTTCCGAACAACCCCAGTCCCCAATTTATTTGGATAATCGACGCTCTACTGTAGTTCTGTAAACTTGTGACAATGACCATTAGACTCCATCATCTGGAATCATTCATTTAACATGTAGCCGGACTTATCGACATAACCGACATAACCAATTTCCTTCTCAAGAGTAGGCCTTAGTGAGCCAGATATGACTTCCATGACTTAGTAATTTGGATTAGGTGATCCCAGCAACATCAACCATTTCAAAACTCAATCTCTCCATGCCAGTCAAACAGCCAAATTAAGATAGTTTGGCTGCCTGACCAGCATTGAATAGTTACTATATTAATAGACTTAATTTACATTGATGTAGCAATGCAGCACTCTTATAAAACAAAACAAGTTGGCATACATAAGAGCATGCTCATATATGCAAGATATACTCTTGTAAGCAAAGCAGGATGTGTATTTCAAAAACACAAAAACAAGTAGTTTTCACAAATAAGAACAAGCTCAGTTGTGCAGAAATACAGTAATTATATGAATTTTTTTTTATAAGTTTATTTATCAAAAATGATTTTTTTTTAATGAAGTTATTTCTTTATTTAATTTATATATCAAAAGTGAAATAAAATTGACAATTTTAATTTTTATAAACTAACAACTTATTATGCAGAATTCATTAATTTTGATATTTTTTTTAAAATTAGGATGGACTTCCAGACAGCAGTTTGAAGAGACTTGGATGGCATTATTAGGTGTTTTGAGTGCTACACCTCTCAGTACTATAGAAGCTAGAGAAGTTAGTATATTAACATATGGTAGGCCCTCAATTATACGAGGTAAACGGGACCAATACTACCTCAGTTAATAGAGACAATCCTGTTTATCTATATAACAAAAATAAATAACAAAGTTTGTCTGATTTTTTATGTTTTTTTTTAAATACTGTAAACTGTATGTGTAAGTTGGACTGGCAAATAAGTTAATTTCAAGATTTTCAACTCAAATTCTTATTTAGACTTACATTCACCATATCAATCAACTCCAAACATACTGTGGACTAGAACTGGAGCGTGGGTTTGGTGTAAGATATTTCTCTCAGTTGTATAGTACATACATTGGATAATTTTATAAGCTTAAAAAGTCAGCTTATATGCTACAGTTTCCTGTATTAGATTTAATTTATCTTCCTTAGTTTTAACAGTTTGAATAATATTTAGACACGCAGCATTGTAAGTCATTTTATCTGTACAAGCTTTGTTATTTTCTACTATTGATGAACGTTATCATTGTGATTTTCTTAAATATTTAATTGACTTAGATATTTTTTACTTTGTATATTAATTAATGGAAAAACTAATACCAATAAAAACTGTTGTTTTATTTCCTTGAATAAAATATACAGTTTTAGTTATTAAAATTGTACTTGATATATAAAAAGTCATGTTCATAAAATCATTGTTGATTTTATGAAGAAAAATTTTTTCTGAAATCAGTTTTTCTTCATACTTATGAGGAATGACAACTTTGTCAATATTCTATGAATTTGGTTTGAGTATGTTTACCAATTCATGAATCCTAATAACTTTATTCTATGCATTATTTCTCAAATTATTTTTGGGAATTTGTGATCACAATTCATCAATCCAGCTTTCATAATTTTTGTTATTTCACTAATAGATTTTGTCAAGCAGGATTACTGTATCTTTGTTTTTCTTATAGAAAAATTTAATACTTTAATTGTCAGATGTTATTGTTGCATGAACTTTCTTTTCAAAATTTCCTTAGCTTACTTTTAGCATTTCAAATACTAAAATGAACCTTTTAATTAATTTTTTAGCCCTTGTAAAATTTGTTTCTAGTTTGAAGAGCATTAGAAAGATTTATTGCAAAAAATGTTTTTACTATCAGTACTGCTAAATTTATTGCAAACGTGAGAAAGCTATTCTTGAATATAGTATACTTGGTGAAAAATAAATAATACTGGGTAAGCATGTCAAACAGTAAATGTTAATCTTAAGCTGCAAATAGATTGGTAGAGTTTTGAGTAATGAGTAATCTTCTTAATGTCTAGTCCAAATTTTGAAATTTTAAAAAACCAATTAGACTTTTATTTGATTGATGAAAAATTGAGTAGGTTTTATTCATGAATGTCATGAAATTGTTCACTTGTTTATTTCCATGATAGTATTATCTAAAACAAGCTGCAGGCAATGATTTACTAATTGCTAAATTATTATAGGAAAATCATTGAAAAGACTAGTTCTCATTGCAGATTTATGACCAAGTGTGGCACTTGTTCCATCAGAACAAAATGCAACTAAATTTTTTTTTTAAATATTCAATACTAAATCTGACATCAATCTTTTGTATATAGTCTCCAAATCTCGTGCATCGAACTTTGCGAAATTGAGAAAAATCATTGCCTATAGATTGGAATCTTAAATTTTTTTAAAAATTACAATTACTGTTGCACAAATTATTAAAAAAAATTTTTATTGCTTTAGTAAATATTTCATTTTTGATTTTTCTTGCAATCTGGTCAACTATTTTAACAGCAGTTTTCCAAGAATGGAGTTCTGCTCTCATATTCAGTCTCTTTTTAATTTGCAGTTCAATCTCAACAGAAAATGCCTTACACTTTTTTGCTTTACAGTAAATTGTATTGAAGATTTTTACATGTTAAAGATGATTATTTTTAGTTTGTTATACAATTTGTAATTACATTCTTAATATGTTCTTTTAGTTGTTTCATAAATATATTTATAATGTTTGTTTTTTTTAAAAGTAGCACCAATAAAACATTTAAATTATTGAGAAAATTGAAATGTTGGTGTCTATTTATTTATATTTATTCAAACATTTGGCTAAACTTGATAAATTTTCTGTTTATATATCTATTGTCTATTTCTATTTCAATTATACAAAACAATTTGTTGTATTAAAATTACTGCACAAAGCAATGCCATTATTTATGAAGAAAGGAATTTTTCTAAATACAGAATTCCTTAAATGCAAAAGAAATGTTCAGTCTTAATCATTGCTAAGCAACAAATGCATTTGTAGATGTGCCTAGCAAACAGTGTGGTGGAGTCGGTAAACAAAATGTCTGACTCTGGCAAATTTGCAATATGTGACCAACTCCAGCCTTACCTTTTTTTAAAATGTCACACTACAATTCATTTTATAAGAAAGATACCACCAAATATCTGAATATTTTTATGCAAAATTTCTCTATAAAAAGTTGTACTAAAATTGATGTTGAGAATCAAAAAATACATTTAATGAATTTACCTCTGAAAAAATTTCAAGTATATAAAGAGATGCACTACACTTTAATAGCCAATAGAATTCCACTTTCGTTAGTTAATTATGAAAAATTGATTAGATTTTTTTTCTTGAAAATAATTAAATTTAAATGTAATAAAATGCAAAAAATAATGTTTTGTTGAAAGGCATAATAAATTGGTCTATAAAATAGTTTCTGCCAGTCTAGTTACAAAGAGAATAGTTAATTTTCACCTGATGAGTGACTAAACTGAAGTATATAATAGAATTTCAAAATATAAAATTTGGAATAAAAATCAATCATCTTGAACTAATGGGGTACAATTGTCCCTAAGAACTTAAACCAGTGAATAATAAGCTGGAACAATCATGTTAATGACATTTTGCTGTTTACTCTTCCACTTTTAGTTTGTTGCAGTTTTATTTTTTCACTGGTTTTTTATTGATTGTTTTAAGACCAAATTATGTTATCAAAGCTATAATAGTCATAAATAACTTGAAATAGAAGGAAAGTGAAAAAATTAATTAGTCAAATTATGCAAAAAACAATTGATGTCCAAAGTAAAACATCTGAGATGTAAAAAAATATTATGCCAAGTAAAAATTATGGCACCCAAAATGAAAGTGAAATTTCTTAGGAGCTTCTCTTTGGTAAAGATAAGCTTGGCACTTTGAAGCCATACCATAAGCATTTACTTTCCAGGCACAATCCCATGACTAACTACAGTGTTTGGTGTTTTCATCCATTTAGCCATCGTAAACCTTAAGTTAATAACTATTTTCTGAAAGTATAGAGTATGTCGTATGAGATACACACAACATTTTGCTATGAAATGGCCTTTGAGTTAATATCATTTTGATATCTATATTTATTGAAGTATTTATTTGTAATAATAAAGTCAGTGTATTTGGCCTAATCATTAGAAAAGTCACAATAAAATATCTGACTCTGGCAACTCCAACTCCACAGCACAGATGGTAAAGACATATCTAATGCTTGTTTCCTTCATGTCAAAGAAAGTTTCTTTTACTTGAGTGTTGTCTACAAATGTATTTTAGAAAATAAGTGCTAATATTACTAGTTATGATAAATCTCACTAATTATCAGAATGGTGATATTTTATTGTGACTTTTCTAATGATTAGGCCAAATACACTGACTTTATTATTACAAAAGAGATACACTGGATGTCATCTGAATTTATTATTATTCTTGCAAGATGTTATTCATCTATTTAGTCAGTCAAGAATCCCACATGATATTATTTTTAGAGAAAATGTATTTAACCGGTTAAAGTATTAATGTCTGGCTAGCCATAATACCAAAATTTCATTCAGATAACACACACTATCATATATCCACTGGCAAAAAAACACTGTTATTATAACAGAAATAAAATTTTTCATAATTTGTACCATTGTATCTTTCAGCTCTGAAGTGCCCATTAAAAACAGTAAGCAGTATAGAAGATATCATCTCAAACATTTCATATTTACCTAATTTTTTCATTTCATTTCAATTAGTAATTCATTGTATATAATATAGAATAAAAGATGAACTTTTCAATGTTTTCCCAATGAGTTGTTAATTAAGCTAGTTAATGGTTAAGACACATGACATACAAATTATCACTCTGTAAATTTGTTTCTTTTTTACCTATTGAATAAAAAACAATAAAATAATTTTATTGATTTATTGATGTAATTATAACAATTAATTATATTAATAAATTAAAATTATAATTCATTCCATTTAGTAACAAAAATCAGAACTTAAAATGACATCACTACCATTTTATTTTCTTTGTCCTTAAAATTTGATTAATGTAAAATAGGTTTATATACTGTAAAATAACATTAATATCAAACTAAATTATTATTAAATAAATTTCAAATTAGAGAAGTAGTCAAATGAATTTTGTAATTATTTTTAAACAGTAATTGGATGAACCAAACAATTTCAAAATCTTACTAGAAAGCTTGACCACTATATTTGATCCACTTATTAACTACAAATGTGTTTTTATGGATGTTTTCATTTTAATAATAATTTCAGGTTAAATTAATATAATATTTATATTCAATAATTTTATGCATTTTGTGATTCAGTTTAAGTAAGATAATTAGATAAACCCAAACATTGAAATGCTTAATGAAAATTTCTGATTTCTGATGGTAGTAATAAAAATTCTTAATTTTTTTATAAGACAATATTTATAATTTTAAAATAGTTTTCAGTATAAAAGCTTATTCTTTTAATTTGTTTTTTTCTTTTTAGGAGGATATGGAAAGAGTGAGAACAAGTTGCTTAGCTGTAAAAAGTATTACATCACTTTTGTTAAGAACTCTACTACTTCCACAACCAGGAAATCCACAGAACAGTACATTTTTGATGCAACCCAGAGATAAACCTTTAGCATTTCTTCACACAAGGTTATTTTTTAACTTTACAATAAAATTATACATTACTCAAAAATATGTGTGATTATGAATAAATAGAGCAATAATGTATTTTGTAGATGTGGAAAGAAGTTAACAGCTGTAAGAAATTCAATCCATAAGAAACTACAGGAAATGCTTAAATTGAGGTAAAAAAAATCACATTTACTGAGGTTAAATTTCAAATTCACTGATAATTTCATTATTATTTTAAAGAAATTATAATTTACACATTAACCACTCATCAAAAATTCAAAGATGAGTTCAATTCATTGAAATATTAAAATAACAGTGATGTTTATCTTTTTTTAAAATTTACACAAAATAATTTTAAAATTTGACTAATTAATGTGTTAATAATGGAAAAATTATCATTAAAAATAAATATTAAATATAAAAATTGAAAACATAATTTAATAAATTAATATATATTATAAAATTCATTATACTAATTTTATAACTGGTTTAGTTATTTAAAATAATAAAAGAATTTAATTTTATGTTATCAATTATTATTTGTTTTACTGTTTTAAAAGATTGCCTGTTTAAATATGTAATTTGTATTTGAAAATTATCTGAAAACAGACTATTACTAGAAAATTTGTGTTTTGATTATATTATTGAAATGTCTCTTAGTTAAAGATAATTAAAAATAAAATTTACTTTTTTAAGAAATTGAAATTTTAAGTACATTTATTTAATTTCTTTATGTATTTAATTGAATCTTTGATATAATGAAGATTAAATTTCTAAGTTTTTAAAATCATTTTACTGATGTAAATATAATATAACTTTTACAATCTATTTTAGGAAAAAATTGTCTGTAACTTTAATATTAAATGAATATGATGTAGTATTATGCAAATTTGAATAATACATCAGTTTTAATCACAATAATTAATTAGTTTGAATAACACACCAGTTAATTACAATATTCTAATTAACTGATACTTCTAAAACATCTCTAAAATATATTGATATATTGTAATTATTAACTATCATTAATCAAGGTTTATGGAAAAATGAATTTGAGAAACTTTATCAAAAATTTCTTAAATTTATTTTTTGAAATTTAACCGTAACCCTTTCAAAATGTAATATAGGAATTTTGGCACTTTTAAAACATTCTTATATTTGACTTTTGGTATTTGACTATGGTCAATTCTATAAGACACCCATTGATAAAAAATGAAACTCTGCATGTAGAGTAATTGTAAATAAATCAAATCTAAAAATTAAATATAAAATATTTTCAAGAAATTTGTCTTTAATTTAAAGTGTTATTAGATGAAGAATGGAGTACTCAAATTGTCTGTACAATTGTACAGTATATAAAACAAATAACATTACAAATGTTTTCTATACAATTTTTTATTATATACAATGAAAAAATATGGCATTGCCTTCATTATGTAACCATACAATAGAAGCTATTTTAATCAAATTAAGAAAATTGTTCAATAAACCAATAATAAATTTATCAGAAATTTAGCAGATAAGCCCAGCCTGGGCAAAAAATAACAACAAATATTATGATTATTAGATTATTTCATACTTCTAATTCTTATATTATATTATAATATTTGATTTATATAACTACAAAGACTATATATAAGGGTTTATCACACCAAGTAACCAATCAAACACATTTTAAAAATTCTTTAAATTATTTACAGTAGAGGAATGAAAAATTTTTAAATATGTTAGATTGCTCACTTGGTGTGATAAACTGTTATGTAAGGTAACCTTTGTAGTTATATAAATCAAATAATGTAACATAATAAACGTTAAAATGAAAACTATATAAAATTTCATTATTTACTTTTTATTGATTATTTCTTTGTATATTTTTGTGATTTATGTATAATCAGTTTTCACATGCTAATAATCAAAACTGTCTCAAACAAAATAAAACTTTGTTTCTCAAACACAAATAAGTGTCACAAATTACAACACTTGGCATTTTACCATCTTTATTCAGTTGATATGCGTATTGTTACACATTTTGGGCGTGTTCTGCCCCTCATCAGTCAACTAAAGTAATAAAAGAAGCATACATAAAATATAACATCATACAGAAAGTTTTTTTTTATAAAAAAGAACACTTGTGGATAAATAAATTATTTCATGGGACATACCTTTGGATGTCAACAGGCTTGAAAATTGTTTACACATATACATGTAGTACAGCATTTTTAATATCTTTTTTTAAAAAACAAGTATTATGAATTATATTTACTTTTGTAAAATTATAATCGAATGCTATGACAATTACATTTATAAGAAATTTATAAATTAACATCATACTATTTAAACTTACATTAAAAGTTGCTTACATTACAAATTTACTTTTCCCAACAATATAAAGAAGAATTCCATGACAGTATAAAATTAATGAACATCTGAATTTTAAACAGATGTTCATTAATTTATTATTAATTCATTTTAGTTTATGAGTTAAATAATTTTTACAATAGTATCTTAATTTTTCAGTGTATACTATATTGCTAATATTAATTTTTTAGGAATTATATTTTTTGTTAATTTTTTTTAGAAATGGAGAACCAAATCTTTCTGCAAATATTGAAAGAATAGCAAGTCCTTCATCTTATTTTTTTTCTCAGGTATTAATTCTTATCAACTTTAATGAATGTTACAATTCAGTAAAAGCATAATAATCTGTTAGTGAAGTATCTTAGCTATTCTTATCAGTTTGTTAAAACTGCAATTTCTGAACAGTCATAGGTATAGGTAATTTTATCAATCTGTTTAAAATAATAAAGTTTTTGAAACTTATTTCATTTCTGTATTCTTTATTGTTATTAGATAGCTACTATTAGATTCATTTTTACTTTAAAAATATAGAAATTTGTAAACTAGAAGAAAAAGATTTATTTACACTATGATAATGTTTACAATGAAGAAACTTTCAGTAGAACAAAATTACTACAGTAGTTCAGTAAAACTGCAACAATTTCAGACCAAATATTTTCAAACATGTAATGTGATATAAATTGAAGGTACTGTACATGAATAGAAAATTTTTATCTGATAATGATTTGTATTATCATAATTTAAGCAATGCATCATTAAACAGAGATTGTTTTAATTCTAGTGTATCGTTCAATTATAATACAAGATCATCACAACAATAAACTTGATTCTGAACAGGAACATTTTTGAAGATACAATGATTAAAATAATCTTCCATCATGTGTAATTGATCACTCAAAAAAAATGGTATAACCATTTTGCCAATTGGCAAAAATTAAAAATTGATCTGATGATTTAGCCATTAATTAAAACAAGCCAAGAAACAATCCAACTTATAAAACATGAAGTATCATGCAGATTTCTGTTTTTTATGTTAACCAGACAAATTTGATAACCTAATTGTAGTTTTTAGCTGATGTTGAATCAAAAGAGAATTACCACTATTATGATAGCTTGAAAAAGATGATTTGAATGATTCAAATCATCTTTATCAATGAACCATTGCCTAAAAATGTTTCAAAGCAATTTAAAAGTTTTATCTAAAAGAAAATCAAACATCACTTCTGACATCTTTTTAATATTATTGAAACTAGCAGAAGAAACATTAACATACAAGCATTATTGTAACAGTTAATAATTTGTGTAGATTTCTTGAAGCACTTAATTAAGACATCAATACTCCAAGATTGCAAAGCATTGTAAACTACAAGGTATTATGTTAGTAGTCTGAGAAAAATATGCAATTGGGTTTTACAATGTAATTATCTTAAATACTTTGCATTATAAAACCTAAATATCATAAAGTCAAAAATTGCTATTAAGTATTCAAATTATTTTATAAAATTTGGAATAGAAATAATTAACCAATTACAAAATATTCAGTTAGAACATTGTAATACAGATACCTAACTGTGTACATACATTTTATGATGTATTAAATTTTACAGTAATCAATATATGGATTATTTATAGAAAAAACTGAAAATAGTCTTCTGACATAAATTTATTTTCATCTGAAACAAGAACTGATGCAAGGAAATAAATGTAGAAATACTTTTAATGAATAAGTGGAAAAACAGAATTAAATTTAAATGATATTAATATCAAATAATGGATAAGTGTATAAAAAATAGTGTTTGATTCATATCTAATCTTCTAAGAAATTTGTTTGTGAATAATAATCATTTATGTTGTATGATTTACAAACAATTTTCACAGTCTATTCCATTTGATAAAACAAAGATTCTCTAAATTTTTATTAATTTATATTAGTCTCCTTCATATCTGATTATTCAATAATAAAATTTTCTTAATAGATTTCAATAAAAATTGTCTTGAACTTTAAAAAGTAATGTAAATTTAGTTTTAAATAGCAAATATATAATATATATGTATTTATTGTTAAACTCAACTATTGAAAAGGTTAATATTAATTTCAACAATTTTGTTGTACACTTTAGTAAAGAATTTAAAAGTAATCAAAATTGCTTACTTTCAGGTTTCTGTAGAATATTTGTGTGTTGCAATTGGAATTATTGATGATTGGGAAGAACCAGAAAGCTCTGTATCTTCAAGTTCCAGTCATTTCTCTGGTTTTGTTAATGGTGCTCTCACATATCACCAAAGGGAACAGTGTCTGTCAGCAGTTGGATTAGACATTCACTCTTGTCTTCATTTTTTATTAGATTTATATAGTCAATGGTTATCTCCAGAAGCTTGCCCTTGCACCCCTTTAACATTACTCACTGAAGTGACCAGATCTGTAAGTAATTGCATTCCTTTATGAAATTTATTGGACACTTATTTAAAGTTATTTTTTTGATAAAGGTTGTGATATTATCAGACATTTTTATGGAACGAGCTCAATATGAATGGATGCTGGATACTTTATTAGAAGTTCAAAGAGTTCATCCAGCAGAAGATGAAATTATTACTCAATACTTAATTTTTGGGATATGTAAAGCTGCTGCAGTGTTGAGTATGGTAATTATGAATTAAATAATTTAAAATATAAATTAATATATAAATATTTTAAATGTAAATCTGATAAAATTACTATATATTATTGTAGGAACAAGATATGCTAGAGAAATTAAAGAAATTAATTGAACTCAGTTTGAAAAGTACATTTCTACCAACACGTCTTGCTACACTTTATGGTTTACTTCACTTGCTAGAGCAAGGAAGTGGGGAAGAAAATTCTCCACTTCTCTCAACTGCATCTGAATATATTCTAAAACATCTTGGCAATACATCACTGTAAGTGTGTGCATATTTTAGTGTACTGTTTACATTCATTTGCAAAACAAATTTTAAAATTAATTTTATTTGCAGACCAAGTAGTCAAAATGAAGATCATATTCTAGTCATGTGGGCTGTTGCAGTTTATATTATTGAAAATTACCAAGAGGATGTTGGAGATAATGAATTTGGCCAAAAAGTATTTCAGGTATAGTAAATAAAATTGTGATTTAACAAACATATTAAATTTTTGAAAATTTTTATATTAAGAAATAATATCAAGACAGTGGATACTAATCTGATAATTGACAAATCTAGAATTTGAAATAAGATTAATGAAATTTAACATTTTTTCAGTTAAACTATATCTAGAATTTTAATATATTCATTAAAATGCAGTCTCTTAAATTTCAAACATAATGAATATATATTTAAAAGAAAATTTTTGATTTAAATTTAATTAGGAATTTATTCTGATTTTTCTAAATATTTGTAATTTCTTTTTGCATATAGATTGGTATCAATATTTGTAACAGTTCAGAAGATGTAACATCTAATAGCATGTATTTGGCAGTTCTTCTTGGTTTAGAGAGATTACTGTTGACAGAAGCTGTAGGAATAAAAGAAATAGAAATAATAATGAAACTTTCTGTTGATAGGTTAATTTTCTTTTTTCTTATAATAATTATAACAGACAAAAATTTGTGTCTAAAAGATAAAAATATATTAATAGGTTAAAATATGGTTCACCTTTGAGGGCTTTAGCAGGTTTAGGTTTACTTCTTTCTTGTATGTATGTAGGTATGTATATATTTAAATTGCTAATTAATAAAAATGATGATGATATGAATCAAATTAATTTTTTTTAAATTGTAGGTAAAGGAACTGATTTGTGGCCTTCTGAATTGCCTCCTAGTGTAAATAATTCAGCAACAGTAGATGACTGTGGTAATGTAGCCACACAGACTGATCCAGAGCAACTTATTGCTGCCATGGAGAGGGTTACAACATTATTTGATAGGTTAGATATTCTAATAAATGTGTTACATAATTATTATTTTGTTATGAAAATACAGTAGTTTTAATTAAATCTGTAATTTGTCCAATATAATATAAATACAAATATATATTTAGCATAAAGTCTGTTTTATTTTAAATTTTTACCAGATTCTTTATTTGATTTCCATTCTTCTTTATTGTTGAAAATTCCATTCTTGGAAGTCAACTCAGATTTATTTCTAATAAATAAGTTGTTATATCAACTTATTTATTAGAAAAAATTTCAAATACTATAATTTTGCCAAAAATTAATAGAATAGGAATAAAAACTTTTGCATAACCCATGCCACTGTATATCCTGTACCTCTGACCATATGCCAATATTTAGTTTATAAGATATAATCTCAAACATTGTTTTTCCCCTTCTATTTCTTTCATTTCATTCACATTTATTGACAATTCACTATAAATGTAATTATATGTGAGGTGGAAAAAACAGAATATTTTAAAAAGATACTGCCTAAACTGCATTAAGCAACAATAGCATAAAATAGTTCTCAAACATTTTTATTATTTCACTTCATATATGTTTTGTTTATTTAATAATAATAAATAATAGTAAATGGTAAAATAATAAAAATATTATATAGAAAAAGATATTGTTAATATCTATAATATGAGGTGAGTAATGCTCTTAAAGGGAATGATAATTCTACCAAATGTAGAGTAAATAAGTAGTAAATAAAATAATTGCCATTAAAGTCATCACTATTGACATGTTTAGTAAAGTTGCACATAGACTTTATGGTATTTAATGAGTTGAGTTTGACAGTTGATCACTTATCTCTTATATTCAAAGTAAACAATTAACATATGATGAAATTGATTGTTAGGTCTAAACATTGGTTGAACTGGAAAGTTTTTTATATTTTTAACAGCTGTCATTAGTTACTACAGATGTGTGATTTAATATTAAATTCAAATTAAAGTTGTGAAATATGCAGATTATTGCTAATGTGAAATTGTATTATTTCTTTAGAAGCTTATTTTGAACTTTTCTTTCAAATTTTGTATGAATAAAATCAAATTGAAATATTTGCAGATAAAATGCATATCCAGCACATTATGCTTTGAGTTTCAGAAAAGATATCACCATACAAACATTAAACAGTATTCGTAGTGTGTGTGTGGGAATGATGTTCATAAACTTTGCACATGTACAATGTAGTTTAAAAAGATCTATTTGGGAAATTTTGAAAGTAAAAGTTACACAACACAAAGGTTGTCCAAAAGCTGTAGACAAAAAAATTGTGAGAAGAAATTGTTAAAAATCGAAGAATAACAAATTATGAACTTGCAATAAGTTTTAATGTGTTATAGACATGTATTGTTGAAATGCTTTGTCAATTTGGAATGGTTGCAAAACATGATGTTTGGATTCCAAAATGCATTAGATGAAAAAACAAACTGGATTGAGTAACAAAACAAAAACTATTTTAAAGTAATTAGTAAGTTATGATGAAAAATGGGAATTTTACAATTATATTGTTAAAAAAATCTACAGTTTTAATTCCAAAAAGTATTGTTTTGTGCATGGTGGAATATGAATGGTATAATTTATTATTAGCTTATAAAACCTAACAAAACTATAAAGTTCAACACCTATTGTCAACAATTAGATCAAGTAAATGAAAATCTTAAAAATAAATGCCTGCTCTGGTCAACTAGAAGAGATTATCTTTCACCAAGATAATGCAAACCCCCATGTCAGTTTGATAATGCAACAAAAAAATAAAAGAATTGAATTGGAAAATTTTAGACCATCCTCCACACTCACCTGATCTAGGGCAATTGCACTTTCATCTATTCTGATCATTACAAAATTATTTAAATGGAAAAAATTTTAAGGTTTTGAAGAAGTTTAATCTGATAGTCAATTTTATAATCAAAACCAAAAACTTTTTATGCAGATGGAATTAATAAACTTTAAATAATTGGGAGAAGGTGATTGAAAGTGATGGAGATTACATTGGTGATTGAATAAAAATATTTTATTTTTTAAAAAAGTCTTGATGTTCTTTCAAAACCACAAAAACTTTTTGTAAGCCCAATAGTTCTCTGAGAGTTATTAAATAGAGATAGAGGAATTACTGGAAATTTATCAGCTTATAAGATATAGTTTAAGTATGAATGTCTAATAATATCAAACTGTACAGATCAATGTACAGAAAATGAATGGGAAAAAACTAAAGGCAAAAGGTATATATATATGCCATTGGTGGTCTCAGAAAAATCATGATGGCAAATGAATGTCTGTATCTGTAGCATGCAATGGATTTTTGATTTTTTTAAAGGAGCTCCTGGTAAGTTTAGACCAGAGGTATTCAAATTATATTTTGCAGAATTCCGTGGTTTTACAAAAGTTCTGCTTATTTTTAGTGAAAATAATGGAAAATAGACATTTCTAAATATACAAAGGCGGTTCAACTTCTATCTGGAATTTCAGTAATGGCAACAGAACTGTATGTGTAACATAGTTCCAATTTATGTTTCTTTCTGTATATACTCCCCATTAAATACTGATGCCTTTCCCATCATTTTGGCAACACTGTTATGCCTGCAGAATAGTCTTTTGGTTGGTGTCAAAGCATTGCCCTGGGCACAATGGAGGTGCTCATTGTTGGAAAATACCAACTCATTTGGCTTACAGTTCAGATCTGTCACATGCAATTATCTCCTGTTTGGCTTTTGAAGAATGCTTTGGGAGACAGGAGATTCATCCAAAATGCTAAAGTTTCTCTCACTTCAGAGAGTTCCATGGTTCTGACACTAGTCAAAAGATTGTATAATGTCATTATACAATCTTTTGGCTGGTGCCATTTACATGATACATATAAAGATATTTAATTGGAGAAATGTTAAAACATATATGGGGAAAAAAGAAAGATCATAATGAGTCTTGAAATCACAATCTCCAACATATTGAAATGCAGAACCGGCAACCTATACAACTCAGCCATTGCCACTTATTAGTGTTTACATTAATCATGACATTTAAATAAGGTAAATTTTTTTTTGTTTTGCTTTTTTATGGAAATGATTTTGTAGAAAAAAAAAGATCTTCAGTATATTTATCAGAGAGGCAATCTCTATAAATGATATACATTTCATTAAAAAACAGCATTAGTAATTCCCAACCATCCCTTGTAAGATATTTTATGTATTTCATCTTTAAGTTCATATTAACACTTTAAAATTATAGAAATATATAATATAAAGATTTTTATAATAAATAAATGTTTTAAAAAGTTTTAAAATTAAAAACAAATTACAACACATTTAACAAATGATTTGCTTTATTGAAAATTAAAACAGAATCAAACGAGGATTTCCTTTTGAAGTGGAAGCAATTTGCAATGTTTTGCCATTATTTTTGATGGAGTTCTTTCCAGCACAAGATGTTATGAATAAAGTAATTGGGGAATTTTTATCTAGTCAACAACCACATCCTCAATTATTAGCCAGTGTTGTCTTTCAGGTAAGTACTTGTTTTAATTTAATGTATATGTAATTTAATGTAATATATAATTTGAATGGTTTTGTTAAGACATTTGTTAATTTTATGGACAAATTTTTGGATTAATTTGATGTTTTTGAAATACAGTTTAAAAAATAGTTGTATTTAATTTCATTACACAAGTTCAGGAAGAAAGAAATTTTAATTTAAAATAAGATTTAAAAAATGTCATAAATTATTTGCACATTAAAAATTATTAATACTGTACATATTTGTATTAAAACAGAAATATTTCAGATTTCATGTGGAATAGCAGGAAAAAAATAAGAATTTAGGAATTATTAAATTAGAAATCACATAATTAATTAATTTTATAATAGTAATAATTAATATAATAAAAATATCTTCCCTGTGTGAAACCATGCCCTTTTTTTAAATTATATTTTGAGACACCATGAAGTGCTGATACTAGACACCAGACTTTTTCACATCCACTTTATTTTCTTATGTACAGTACTTTACAGTCTTTAAACTAATTGTTCCAAATGCCAATATGCTGTTTGGACTAGTGCCCCTCATCTGTTGGCTGATGTAAGTTTTCTACAGTGATTTTAAAACTATTGTTGATGTACATAAAACCAAATACCACCATGTATTGTAAACCAGTTAAAAATTCCTAAAACTTGATGCAATTTTTATATAAAAAATTACTTGCATTATTTACATAAAAATTGTATCAAGTTTTAGGAATTTTTAACTGGTTTACAATACACGGCAGTATTTGGTTTTATGTACATCAACAATAGTTTTAAAATCACTGTAGAAAACTTACATCAGCCAACAGATGAGGGGCACTAGTCCAAACAACATATTGGCATTTGGAACAATTAGTTTAAAGACTGTAAAGTACGTAAGAAAATAAAGTGGATGTGAAAAAGTCCAGTGTCTAGTATCAGCACTTCATGGTGTCTCAAAATATAATAAAAATAGATAATTTGAAATTGCAATGTAAATTGGCATGCATTTTATTTATTTATTGAATGTAAAAGATACAATAAAAAAAATATATATACAGTTGACCCCTCTATAACACAGTAGATATGTTCCGCTTTATAAGAATTTTGCATTGTAGGAATCCTCAAATACATGAGCCAATCACAGCTCGGCACATGTGCAGTTTACAGACTACGGCTGTTTGAAGGGTTTTCTTCCATAAAATTAATTGATTCTAGACTAATTTGACTCAACATTTCCAAAACACATATTATTTTTTGGGAATAATCTGTATAAACCAGTGTTTCTCAATGGGGGCGATATCGCCCCTATGTGGGCGTTTTTCCGTGTTGAGGGGCGATTAGTAACAATTTATATTTTGGGGGGCAAAAAACAATTTTCTGGGCGATATAGTACAACATTATATTAAGAATAATTAGATATTTTATTCGTTATATCATACTATAATTAAACAAATAACATTTTATTAGTCATTAGTCTATTCAATGCAGTACGAATTTGGCGTTAGCCTTGGCCTTCGGCATCGGAATTTTGAAGTGAAGGGGGCGACAATTCGTTAGAGGTTGAGAAACACTGGACTGGTATAAACTATGCTATAAACAAAACATTGTAGGATTACTTACCAAGTGTGCACCGTTCGACCACGCTATTGCTTAAGCTTGTTTTCGTCGCAGAGCAGTGCACCAAACGGCGGCCGCGTTTTCTGATAAGTTATTTTTCTGCAAAAAATTCGTTGAACTTTGGGGACATCATTAATAGAAATAATTTTTATGACCATTGAATAAGAAATGTTTTTTTCACAAGAAATGTATAAAATTACAGTACTGTATTAGACTTACAGTACCTAATTTAGGCCTATATACTGTACAGATGATAGTAAATTCAACTTACCCGCCTAAACTCTCTGTAGTGTGTATGTAGTTCGGCTGCTCGTCCACTATTGATCCAGATTCTACCAATCCTGTCGCCACACGAGTCAGCGATGACATTTTACTGCATTTTACAAGTCTCTTTTAACGTCTTTATATGAATACGGTCGCAATTTTTTCGCTGCGATATACAAATCTGCATTATATGAACTGGCATTATAGGGAGGGGTCTACTGTATATATATTTATATTGTATCTTTTACATTCAATAAATAGTCAAGTCCACTTAAGAGATCACTCTTCCTTGTTTCCAATTATTTTCTTTGTTTTGTGCTAGAGCAGACTGTTTAAATGAGTGCCTTGTTAGTGGCATTTTTAGAGCAGAAGTCTGCATATGAGACCACCATTCTAAGGAAGATCTATCTTTAATGTTGCAGGGGCACAAAGCAACAGGGTTCTCTACAGTATTTATTGAGATTTGAAATGAAATCTTCCATTGGTTAGTTTTCTAGTAAACAGATAGTTAGAAGATTTATTACAGGATTGTAATGAATGGGTTTTATTGGACACACATGAGAAGCAATTACATATCATAAAAATGTATCAAAATATATGAACAAACAAGAAGTGATTATCAACTGTATTTCAGAGGTCAGATGAATTTAATTAAATTACTTCTATAAAAGTTTGTCTGACGGAGAATTATTTCTAATAAAATTGAAGACAAAACTGTCCAGAAAGGATCACCATTTATTATTTTTTGTGTTCCAAGACTAACACATTTTCAGCGACTGACCTTTCTTTTTAGGCTACTCGTTGCCGGAAAAATTACAAAAAGTCCTTTTAAAAAACACAAAACACATCCAATTAAAATTTTTAAAAATTTCTGAAAAAGGAACTGGTGACGTACAGTTGTCTTGCTTACTTCCATCTATACCTTCTTTTGGGGTTTCCTCTGCTTTTTATCTACTAAAAATTGGTGCTGGAATATGTAGATTTTTAGAAAAGCTGCCCACTGGATACATGTAGAAATTTCTTCTGTAAAAGTTCGTCCGATGGAGAATTATTTCTAATAAAATTGAAGACAAAACTGTCCAAAAATGGTGATCCTTTTTGGACAGTTTTGTCTTCAATTTTATTAGAAATAATTAAATTAATTAATTAAGGTAGTACTGCACTTAGTTTTTATATTGTACATTCCATTAGACGTGAACTACATTCTACCAGTACTTGTGTTTCTGTCAAGAAGTGTAAGTGACTGATAAATATACTGTGTTTACTAATTAATCAATAGAACAATGAAACTGATGATATAAGAATGGATTGTGATAATGAATTTTAATGTTTCCATGTCTGTTGTAAGTTACATGGTGCTCCTAAGACACAAAAAAGTGGAAAGAAATGAATACCATTAAGAACACCCTGGATGATCTTGTTATTTCAGATAAGAGAGCAGTCTAGATATAGGTGCATGAAATGGCAATTCTAAGGGTGCTTTAAGTGGGGACCTGACTGCATATAAAGATATTGTACAGTAAATTGTTTTAAAAAATTAACATATATAAACTTTTTGATATATGGTATTTTGATTTTTAAGAAATAATATACTTTATAATAGTTTCAAATCTATTCTTACAATTCCGATTTTACTTTTTACTACTGGATGTATAAACAAAAGTTTTTTGTTCTAAATTTATCCAGAGAATCAAAATTTATTATAAATGCATAAATAAGTAAGTGAAAGAATTCTTAAAATCTTGATGTAATTCCATTTTTGTCTTCAAATTTTTATATAATAATGTGAAAAATTTTAATATTAGAGTAACTTTATTGATTAAAAACAGTTTTTTTTTTTAAATTAATTTTTTTTTAATTTAATTTAAAAAATTGATCTGTTGATATTTTATGAAATTTACAGCAGAAAAATGGAGAGAAAAAAAAAATGTATTATATTACTATTTCAGGTCTTTATCTAGCATAAAAATTTTCAGTTTATTAAATTAAGTTATTCTATCTAATAATGAATTTTTTAATTTAAAAAAGATAGCATTAATTATTGAATATGTTTAGTTTAAACTAAATCCTATAGTAGAGCTGATTTTATTTTTAAGAAATTTACTAGTCTAATTAATTAATTTCAAAATATATAAATAGCTACCATAAACCTATATGATTATTTATTTTTCTTTTTTAACTAAAATGATTTTTTTTAATAGATTAATTTTCAAAATAATGCTTCTAATTAATACATTACAAATTATATCAGGTTTTTCAGCATCTCCATCAACAATCTCAAGAGGATATCATTTATGATTGGGTTATGTTGTCATTATCAAATTTTACTCAGAGATCTCCAATTGCCATGGCAGTTTGGAGTCTGACATGTTTTTTTGTAAGTGCAAGCACATTACCTTGGTTACAAGCACTGTATCCTTTTTATATAATTTTATTATATTTAGTAATAATTAAAAAATTAAAACAATTCTGTTTTTTTTTATTATTATTATGATAAACTTCCTTCACAAACAATTTAGATTTCCCCATCTGCAAAATAGAATGGGAAAAATGGAAAAACAAGACAGGAAATTGTTTTGTATAGCAGGAATTCAGTTTAAAAATCAAGTTAGTGTATTTTGAACATATAAAATGCTTGTTATAGTTGATAGAACTTAAAATTATATAAATTTTTGCTTTCAGTTAAAGGATGATGAGCACAGAAAAAGTTTTTATTCTACAATAAAGGTGGTTGCTCATCCAGACTCTCCCTATGCAGATCTCCTTAGTCACCTTTAATGTTTTTCCATGATTTTGAATTGTTTATTTCAGTGTTCTTATGTGCATTGCATTCCATTATAATTAATATTAGTTTTTCATTTTTTAAACAGTGAATTATGGTTTACATTCCGATTATTTGAAATAAATCAATAAGTTCATTAACTATCATATGCTTAGATCAGTGGTCCATACAACAGACAAAAATCATTAAACTGTTGTATCCATTTATCTGTTCTTTAATCTAGATTTGTTGATTTAAAAATTGAGTCACAACATTTGATTATAACTGTAAATACATTGTAAGAATGTAATTCCAAGAAAAAAAATATATATGTATATGATAATTAACTTTAAAATAAAATCTGTATAAAACATTTATTCCTTTTGTTTTTGTTAATTTTGTAGTTGTCAGAGTGTAAGTTAAATTATTGAACTAGATAAGATAAAATTAATTTCTATAATGTTATAAATTACAGATTATACAGTATGTTGTTAAATAAGCAATAATAATTGACATTTCTTTATATTGAGATTTAGCGATATATTTTATTTCTCTGGTGCTTTTTCTTATTTCTTTGATGTCAATATATCATTTGAAATGTTCATATGCATCTTTACAAACATGTGAGTATGCTGTGGATTACTGGTAATTACTTCAGTGTTTTTTTCTTACTGATTTTTCAGAAGTATAAATGTTGAGGGAAACAGCAGCATTTTATAAATTACTTTATAGCAGTTTAAAACGACTGTTTTAGCAACGATTATAATTAGAAACTAAGTTAAAAATAACTTTCAATTGATCAATATAAATTATTTCATATATTTTTCATTTTGCATTACCATAAACAATACTCCATTAGGATTTCGATGTCACCTTTAAGATTTATTATAAATACCAAATGTATAAGTAATTATAATAATTTTTATTATATCATTATGTATAATTCATTATCAATATAATATTAAAATATTAATGAAAATGGACAATATGAAAAATATAAACTGTTGATCAAATGGACTGATGGTGGATATTTTTGAGACTAGAAATTAATTTCTTGCCAAGAGATAGGAGGAGTTGCTCTTTCATAGTTCATAAATATAAAATTCAGAGAATTAAAAATAGAATCATACTAACATACTGTTGGTAATGTTTTTTTTTTTTTTTATTCTCCATCCGGTGAATTGTAAGAGATCATTTTTCTAAACCCATTGTAGACTTTGTGAGACAAAAAAGTGGGACAATCGCATGGTGTAGAAAAGAGCATATATGCAGGTTAATCCACCCTTGATATATGCAGGTTAATCCACCCATGAAAATTTCTTTCCCAACTCAACATGAATTCAGATCCTAGAGCAGGTCTTTCTCTTTTTGAACAAATGAAATACTTAGAATGTTTCTTTATTAATAAAAAGCAGGCTTTAACGATTTTATTTTTGCCAATAAAAGTGACATTAATTTATAATAGCGGCCCGTAGTGGTTCCTACTAAGTTTGCTCTGGTCCCGAGAAAACATCCCCAGCTCTCCTCTCTCATTGGCCCTGCTAACACACAAACCCCGTGTAAAACATAACTGTTAGCATTTACCTATTTTTCTATTTCATTACTGGGAAATCGAGACTTGTCTTTTATTTTCTGGAACTCATGTTTAAGTAAACTGGCCCTAGAGCCCCTTGAGTACTTTTGTTCGCCCGGAATGGCACTTGGAAAACCCCTAATTGATTTTTTATATTAAATAATTAATTTCCACTCAAATGCGAATCTGACAGCAAAAAAAATTACCGCGAAATAAATACACCCCAAAAAGTGTTTTTACAGAAAAACTATATAAAAAATTAAAAATAATTTAAAATGAATGCTTTTATTTGAAAAATATAGATGCACGATTGTTGTTCTTTCATTTAATAAGCGTAAAATTTCATACGTGCAGTCAACATCGTTTACAAACCGGTTGACCTTGAGAACAGCTGGTGTCAGCTTTCCCGGGTAGTTCTGGTATGCTTCAGGGTAATATTGGTTTAAAGCAGGAGGGGAGCTAACTTACTGCATCTATTCAAATATAATACAAAATTTTCGATTTTTATGCTATTAATTAAAATACGGGAGGACCGAAAAAAAGGTATGGGAAAAAAATTTACTGAATTAAAAAAAACCTGTCATAGAAAACATCTAATAGTGTTTTAAAAAATTTACCGAAGTCAAATTAGTCAAATAGAAGTTTAGAACAATTTAATTAAAAAAAACTCCCATAAATAACAACAGTGCAATTAATTAGCTAATTAATAAAGCTTCATAAAAATTTCGCGGCAAAAATAATTCATTAAATTTGCATAGGTGATAGATAACGATGTATATATGCTGATCCATACATTTTTCGAAAAGTTATATCCAGGCCCTTTCTGAGGCCTGTTAAGGCCCGTGCCCTAGTACTCGGGTTACGGACTGAAGTTAATTACTGTTCTTGTCCCCCCTCCCTGTTGTATACAATGATGTACTTTTGGCAAACCACCTCCCCTTTAAGTGTACAATAGTTCGTGGACCATTGGCATTTAAAAAATGAGTTTAAAAAGTTTTGCAAATAGTTTTTAACTGATAGTTTATTACCACGACAAGGAAGTAGACTTGTAAGTATAAATTTGTATGCCCCAATACTACTAAAGAAAGCCAATTTATACAATACCGTGACCTCATTTTCACTTAAACTGTACACATAATTAATGGACGCCTCTACCACGGGGGCGTCCATTAATTGTGTATATGTTGCAGAAGCATTTCCGATTTTTGTCTTGTGCATATACTGTATAGAAGTCTTCAGTGGCGTGCCGTCATTAGAAGCGGTGGAAGCGCCGCTTCCCTTGTATTTTCTAAAAATAAATACATATTAATTTTAATTATATGAAAATAATCGCATAATATTTTATTAGAACCGCATTATATATTTTATTGCAAATTTCTATACTACACGTGAAAAAAAAAGATTGCTATTGTAGGCTATTTACGAATATTAGTGGTGGAGTGGAATCTCTGTATTGTCAGATTCCAAAATGCCAGATTTGCGCACGCGCTTTACAGAGCACCAACCTCATCCGGTTTAGTCGGTGGAAGCGTACGACCTTGGGTTGATGCGACACGTATAACGCTTCCAATTCTATCCGGGACCGGTTCTGGGCTGTTAGCCGCCTGCCCGCTAGATATTTGGCCGATTACGTAAATAACGAGTAGATTTATAACTTAACCCAACGATAGGAATTTACTCGTATGTTTTTACGATAGTTCTGTATAGTTGACAGGAGTTTAAAAAATCCATTAAAATATTTGATATTTTTATTCCGCTCTCCGATTTTATATTACTCACGGATTTCAATGTTAAACCAGTGATATTACGATTTCGCGTGTCCCATCTTTAAGGGGATGTAGAAAAAAAAGTGTACAATTCTTGTATAATGTTAAAAAATTAACTGTTACTTTGTTACTTTAGCATCGTTTACAACTAAATTTAATGAATGAGAGAAATGCACGAGGTACAGAAAAAGCTCTAGAATTTATTTTCCTTAAATTTACGATTTATGTATCCGTTTGTCATAAAAATTTGTCTTTCCACTTTTTTCCCGAGACTACAAATATTCGAGTACAAAGTAACCGGTTTCGACTTATTTCTACTTAAGAAGTAGTTAAATAATTAAGCGATTAGGGAATTGGGGACGTAAACAAAACCCTGATGAAAGAGCCGGAATTTTACTTAAACAAAAGCCTAACCGGACCAATATCTAGCCGAGTACAGTGGGACTGATTTCTTCGTAATATTAGATGTAATAAAGACAGAAATTTTTCCAGTTCAATGAAAGTGAGTAAAAGTTGTAAATTTTGGAAATTTCCGTGGACACCTGGTCTTAAAACGAATTACAGTAGTTAGAAAACAAATGACTTTTAAGTTTAACAAATTTAGATTTTTACAGCTATGATGAGAAACGTTTAAAATTTACAACAACCCTGTCGCGTCCTTTGAGATATACTAGTGATGAGACAAAAGAGACATTAACCGGTATCGGCACCCTCGGGATTTGGCAAGCATGCACCGCACCGCACACCTACCAAGACCGTCTCTGATTCCATCCACGAGCCACTGGTAGGGAGCAATTTTAACTAGGTGGATTGTTTTAATATTTAAAAAGTAAAGACTATTTTATGTTATTTTTATGTACGTTTCTTCACAAAACTATATTTATAATTTTCTTTAAAAGTATATTCATACAATTGAATATTTTGTACCAGGTATGTATAATTGTATATCATCACACATTTTATTTTAACAAGTAAGTTTTTATAATTTTATTTTTAATTTTAGCCCTTATATTATAGCTAGCAATTTAGAATGTAATTGTGATATCGAAAATTTATTTCAAAAAGTTTTGGCTCGAGACCATATAATGAAAAAGAAAAAATTTGTTCGACATTTTCATGATAAAATTTATGAAGATATAAAATGGCTTTGTGGATGCATAAAAATGCAAAATTTGTTTTGTTGGCCTTGCCTACTATTTTCAAATAAAATTAGTGTGTAGAATGAGATTGGCTTTGACGATTTAAATAATTTGAGTAAAGCTGGCAAAAGACACGAAAATCCTAAATCTCGCATCGATTCTTTCGTAAAATTGAAGCAATTTGGAAATCAAAATAGAATAGAATTTAACATTAGTACACAATATAAAATATATATTGAAAATTATAACGAGATAGTTACGGCTAATAGATATATTTTAATTAGTAGATGTTATCGAAGCGAGAATTGGCATTTAGAGGGCGTAGAGAATCTATTAAATCTAATATAACAGAGTTAATTATATTGAACTTGCTTATTTATTAAGTGCGTTAGATAATCTATTAATTAAAAATACATTTAGAGAAGTCTACCGTTTTTACTGGCTTATCGAACAAACGAATACGAATGGACCCTAGACCATCACTGACTGATTGCCCCTGGAAGTCGGCTTGCTACAAAAACACAGCTTCCCTATCATCAAATGTCACGGCACGCCCCTGGAAGTCTTGTATTACTTTTCAACCCTTCCAGTCGTGCAAATGTATTCTTTGGAAAATATATGATTATAAGTAATTTTTTTCATTTTAACTCTTCTGCCCTGTTAGTTCTTTATGGCCACTAACAGACGGGAGGGTTTTATTCCTTGCCTATTGTGGGTTTTGCCAGGCCCATAATAGAAGCAATCGGAGAGGGACGAAGTCCCACATAGAGTCTCGGTCATCTGGCCTTGGAAGAGATATTATTAGTTAGTTTTATTAAAAATGCAAAGAAATTAGCATTAGAAACAAATTATATAATTACTTTTTAAAAATAAAATAATTTAAGTCTA